TAATAATGCTAATGTGGTGGAAAGTTCGGATGAAAAGAACAGATTTCAGTCTCACAAAAACCATGGTGCAAAGGCTCTTAAGCCATCAGCTTATTTTAAGAAAAGATGAAGTGTTGGAACTGCAACAAAACTGGCCACTAAAAGCAGGACTGCCGCTTGTCTCCACAACGAAAGGAATCCACAAAACTCATCTTACGGAGGACTTAATTGCTGTCACCACTGAGGTAAACGCTGCAATTGACGTCGTGGAATGGATCATTGAATTTGGCTCCACACGTCATATTTGCAGCAGGAAGTCTCTTTTCAAAATTCTTGATGAATCTCCACGTGATAAAGTCTTCTTAGGTGATGCTAGTGCTTTGCAAGTTGCTAGAATTGGTGAAGTTGATTTGACTGGAAAAGTTTTAACTTTGACTAAGGTTTTGTTAGTTCCTAATATGCGTATAAATCTGATCTCTAGTGCTTTATTGATGATTGCTGGAAAATTAGTGATTACTAAGGTTTTGTTAGTGCTTTTTGTAACGGGATTCTCTTTGTTCTTATGTTATGAATGAAATAAGTGGTGCTGCTTCTGCTAACTATGTGTGTGCTTTGGACTCTTGGCATGGTAGACTAGGACATTTGAATGTGAACTCTATCAAACGTTTAAAGCATGCAAATCTGATTCCTGATAAATTTGAGAAAGATATTTCAAAGTGTGAAATTTGTGTAGAAGCAGAACATGCTAGAAAACGTTTTCTTATCCCATTGATCAAAAATCTGAACTGCTTGAGCTTATACATTCTGATCTGGCTGATTTTAAAAACACTCCTAGTAAAGGTGGTAAACATTATTATATTACCTTTGTTGATGATTTTTCTAAATATACTAGAGTTTATCTATTAAGAACAAAGGAAGAAGCCTGTGAAATGTTTACGCAGTATAAAGCTAAAGTAGAAAACTGGTTAGATAGAAAAATTAAAAGGTTAAAGACTGATAGAGGTGGAGAATATGTATCTGAAATTCTGAAATCTTTGTGTTTAAAGAATGAAGTATTCATCCGAAAACTGCACCTTAAACCCCCCCTCCCCAGCAAAATGGTATAGCTGAAAGAAAAAAATCGTACTCTTAAGAAAATGATGAATGCTATGCTTATTAGTTCTGGGTTGCCTGATCAAATATGGGGGAAAGCTGTTCTTTCTGCTTGTTATATCCTGAATAAAGTGCCTCATAAACGAATTCCAGTTACCCCATATGAACTTTGGAAAGGTCACTCACGTAACTTGAATTATTTAAGAGTGTGGGGGTGTCTTGCTAAAGTAAAATTGCCTAGTTTTAAAAAGAATAACATTCGTCCTAAGACTGTAGATGCTGTATTTATTGGTTATGCTATGAATAGTGCTGCTTATCGTTGCTTGACTTTTAAACCTGATTCTCTGCAATTTGACAACATTACTGAGTTTAGAGATGTTGAATTTTTTGAAAATGTGTTTCCTTTTAAGAGTAATTTGGAATCTGGTATTCTAGTAATTCATCTGCTAAAAGAACTATTGATGATAATAATGAAAAGCTTAGAAAGAGTAAGAGAATAAGAACCGAAACTGATTTTGGTCCTGATTTCATTAAAACATTCTTAGCTGAATATGATGAGTTTAGTGAAGATTTTGTGTATGCATTCTTGATAGAAGAAGACCCTAAAACATTCTCTGAAGCTATGAAATCCATTGATGCTGTTTTTTGGAAAGAGGCTGTTAACATTCAGTTTGATTCTATTATGGCTAACCACACTTTTGAGCTTGTTGATTTGCCTAGGGGCTGCAAGGTTATCAGAAGAAAGTGGATTCTTAAAAAGAAACTGAAAGCTGATGGTACTCTAGACAAATTTAAGGCAAGGCTGGTGGCGCAAGGAAATTCTCAAAAACAGGGAGTATACTATTTTGATACCTACGCTCTGGTTACTAAGATTGCATCCATTAGCATATTGTTTGCTCTTGCATCTATTCATAAGTTAGTTGTTCATCAAATGGATGTGAAAACTGCATTTTTGAATGGTGATTTGCATGAGTAAATTTATATGATGCAACCTAAGGGATTTATTGTTCCTGATCAAGAACATAAAGTGTGCAAACTAATTAAATATCTTTATGGTCTGAAACAGGCTCTTAAGCGATGGTTTGAAAATTTTAGTAACACTTTGCATGAAAATGGCTTTGTTTCGAATTTTGGAGATACGTATGTATTTTCTAAGATGCATGAGCATGGTTATGTTTTATATGTTTGTATGTTAATACATGCTTATTCTTGGCACATCTCTGGAAATTGTTTGTGAAACAAAAGTTTTCTTGAGTTCTAAATTTGATATGAAAGATTTATGTGAAGTTGATGTCATTCTTGGAATAAAAGTTGTAAGAAATAACTCTGGGTTTTCATTAAATCAATCTCATTTTGTTGAAAAGATACTTAAGAAATTTGGATATTGGAATGAAACTAGTGCTAAATCTCCTTATGATTCATCTCTGCATTTGTGTAAATATAGAGGAGAAAGTGTGAACCATAAATATAGAGGAGAAAGTGTGAACCAGTCTGAATATGCTAAGATCAGCGGTAGCATAATGTATTTGATGAATAGCACAAGACCTGATATCGCATATGCTGTGAGTAGATTAGGTAGATATACTCATAATCCTGGTTCTGGTCATTGCGTAGCACTTGGTCGCTTAATGAGATAGTTGAAAGGAACTCTTGATTGGAACTTGTGTTATAGTTGTTGTCCATGTGTACTTGAAGCTTATTGTGATACTAATAGGGTGTCAGACAATGATGAAGTAAACTCTACCAGTGGTTTTGTATTTACTTTAGGTGGAGGAGCTGTAGCATGGAGATCCACTAAACAATCTTGCATTGCTTGCTCCACCATGGAATCTAACTAATTGATCTTGAATTGGCAGGTCAAGAAGCTGAATGGTTGAGAAACTTTCTTGCTGATAGCCCAATGATAGAAAGATAATGTTCTTATGTGTCCATGAGATGTGATTCTCAAGCTGCTATAGTTGTAGCTATAAATGCATTGTATAATGGGAAGAAATGGCATATCCGTATGAGACATAAAGTGATACGCAGCTAAACTGAAACAGGTGTGATAGATATCACTTGAGTTTGTGAGATCAGGGAAGAATATAGCTGATCCACTAACGAAAGGCTTGTGTGGACAAATGGTCCTGGACACAGCAAAGGAAATGGGATTAACACCTCTTTCAGGTTAGATCATTTTGGATACCCTACCAAGAATTTCATTTATATTTGAGTTCTTGGTTCAAAGTGATCAAACGAAAAAATTGATCATAATCTGATGGTATTTAAAATATTTTTATTGTTGTACGTAGCAGGCTGAGACATATGGTCTCTTAATAAACTTATTCCCGTATGGGGGTGTGAGACAACACACACTTGATAAGTCACCTAATAAGTGTTGAGGTAAATATTACCTAACTAAATGAGTTGTGGGTTAACTCACTAGAACATGATGCAGGGTTGAAAGAATAAGTGTAAAAAAACGCTTTGTATAAAATTTGCGAAACTCTCAAATTGTTTTGTTGATTCAAGTTTGTAGAAGGGCATCAACGTTTTTCAATTTTTGTTCTCGAAACATGTGGGGGATTGTTGGGTATGTTTCTACTAATTGGGCTATGTTAATTATGCATTTGGGCTTTGCCGTTTCATGTTTTGTTTTCAACGTTTAAGTCACTCGTTTTATCAAAATGGTTTTATAAGAAAAGAAGAAGTCAAAAGCTTGTGGCTGAATTTTCTGAACAAGTTTCCAAAAAATTCGACGAACGGAACATGATTGTGGGAGAGATGGTAGGGAGATCTTCCTGGAACAGTTACGCTCTGTTGACTATAAAGAGAGAGTTTTGGAGCTTGAAAGGGGAACGCACAATTCATCTTCTTTAGTTCTATCTTTAAGTTTCTGGTTTTTTCAATTGAGAGTTTCATCTCTCCTGGATTGAGTGCACAGTTCAGGTGAGAGCAGAGTAAACCCTGGAGTGACCCGCCTTGGTTATCTCTCACCTGGGATTAGGAGGGTTTTTTTGCTCAAGTGCAGTAGTTCTTTCTATGGTTACTGTTCTAAAGGTGATTTGATTGGTCACTTTATCATTATACATTTTAGAATACATATAATTTCAGCTCCTTCTTTTAGCCAGCAATAATAAAGCCATAATTTGTTTTTTGGCAGGGCATGTCAAGTATCTTATTTGTCTAAAAGGAACTTATCCACTTAATTTGAAGTAAAATTATTATGAAAAATTGAGGGTCTAAGTTAAAGTAAGAGCATGAGGCGACTCTGCTTTGTGGATACCAATAGCCTCGAATTTGTATTCATGTACCAAGTATTTACAAGGTAGACTATTTTAACATCTCAAATTTAAATATTTACATTTGAGTATAGCAATTATTTAAGCATCGGGAATCAGCTCTCGAAAGATCACAAATGTTCAGGTTCCATTTAGTTGAAAATTTTGAAGCTAACTGCAACATGAGTGGTGATTTATACGGTAACTCCAAATTTCCATTAGTTAATGAAGGCTTTCCACAATGTCGTTGTTTTCTTTTATCAGCCTATTTAGAGATCACTCATATTGGTTTATTTTCAAATTTGAAGATGGGTAGGCCATATGAAGCTAATCGACGGGCAATAACACAAAGAAGACATAGTTGACATCACAGGCCGAACGAGCAAAAGACAGTGCATTCTATTACTGATCGATGGGAAATAACACCCATGCCTTGAATGTTGTTCAGCGCTAGCTGTCTGCCCCTTTCGTCGTCTTGATCACACCAGTAATGAGTTAGTAGCTACACATACACGATTACGTAAGTCACAATATAGCATCCTCATTTTAGCTTTTACGTCAGCGGTTTACTTTTGTATTAATATTATCTTCACATGTATGTTAACGTTCAGCTCCATGTCGTCTCTAAATTCATTCACAGATACAGAGTGGAATTATTTGTACACGGTAATGGAGACAAAGCAACTTTTGTGCTTCTTGGAGACTCCGGTGCGGAGCCTATTGGGTGACAAATTTCTGAGCTTATCTATGCGGAGGTAAATAATTTCTCAAAAACTATACAACTCTCGAGACACAGGCAACTCTCTCACTTTGTGTTGAAAACTTCAAGGTTAATGGGTTTAATAGTAAGTCATCCAACCAAGCGGTGAGTTGTGATGAAGAAAACAAGGCAACTGCCCCTATGATAGCACTTGAAGGGTCCCTCACTGAACATTGGCACCTGATGGGCCACGTACTTCAGCATCGCTACATTACAATTGTGTTTTGTTTTTGAGTTTACCCCCTTTTTACAGAAGTTCATAATACATTTGTGTTCAACTTGCAATCTATAGATCTTTAAACATTTCACTTTAAAAATAAAGTGTAGCCGTAAACAAATGGTTTCATATTTTTTGAATGAAATAAATGGTTACATTAATAAAATTTAGATTGTTAATCTACATTAACCACTAACATGTAGATTTACATAAATATAGGTAGAAATATTTCATCAGATTTGACATCACTATTCCATAAATATATACACGTATATGTGTATACACAAACATATATATCTCCCTTATTTCAATTATATTTCATTCATATAATCTATTTATGTATGTGATTCACAAAAATATAACCATTCTAAAATTATGCTCATTGTAAATAATAGATACAGGTTTGTTTGGGTAAGTCAGTAACAATTTATTGTTGTTACTGTGTAATGTGACTTTTACTAATTCACGAACTTTGGATAAGCAATTTTATACATTTTAAGTAGGGCTGGACACAAATACTTGATACTCGTCTTGTATTCATTACTTGATTTGGTTCGGTTTGAAAAAACAAGTACTTGTTACAATCAAGTCGAGTAGCAAGTAAACAGATTTTATTACTCGTAAGTACAAGCCAAGTATCAAGTTCATTTTTATTTTTAACTACTTAGCTTGTTACTTGGTTTATTACTTGTTATCATTTACTTGTCTCATTTATATATTACTTAGTTTATTAAATATTTAATATCCATTTTATTAGTTAATTAAAATATATGTATTACATTTTATTGGTGACCACAATTACTCGTTGTTTGGTACTTGATGGATACATAATATTTAAAAATTAGTATTTCTTATGAACAAGTTAAGTATCAAGTAATCTATTTAAACTACTTAAAAGTATAAAGTAAATATGAAATATTAAATAAATTAATTACTTGACATTTTTTATTTGTTATTTGTGTTTGTTAATGAACAAAAATATATTTTCATAAATCCTAGTAAACTAACTCATTTCTATTAGAAATTTCCATTTTCATAAGTACATCAAACATAAATGCTATATTTATATTAGCATTTTGAAGTTTTATCTTTTTTATATAGTCTATTTTGAATTACTTAAATACAAGAAAAAAATGACATATTATTTATATAAATTTATTTAACTTTAAATTATAATGAACTATCAAATAATTTACTAATAATTATGAATGAATTTGTAAGTAATTTACAAGTAACAAATAATAAAATATGTCAAGTAATTTATAACTCCATCAATTTTTTTGCAAGTACTTAAAACTACAAGTATTTGTTTTTAGCAAACTAAGTACAAATCATTATTTACTACTCGTATAAGCCAAATCGAGTATTAAGCATATCAAAAATACCGAGTACTCAGCTTGTGTCCACCCTTAATTTTAAGGATGACGATTTCATCTACGATCAAATATAAATCGAAATAGTTCAATAGGTCATGTTCTTTTAGTAATCGCTGTGATCCCTTTTAGCGATCAAAAGACAGTTCAGTAATTGCCAAAAGGATTCACTCCTTACTAACATCACTGGTTTCTTTTTTCTCCTTAAGACATAAAGCGTTTTCTAAAAACGTGAAATCTAGAAAATAAATAGGGCTACTTCAAATACACCACTCTAAGTGAACTAATTCCTTGAACAAGTTTCAGTGTAATTGAAGAATTACTCCAAATGTAAAACACACAGACAGTGGGATTTGTAAAAGGATCTCAAGAGAAACAAAGGAGATAGCACATGCATTCACCTTCCTCATGTGAGAATTATAATATGCAATAATATTTACAGCAAATAAATACTTTGGGGTTACACCACCAAAGGACTCTAAATAGAAAAAAATTACAATTACAGCAAAAGGGAAAATCTAAGGAAAACGGTAAACATATAAAGTTAACTTCAAAAAGAAACGACATAGAGAAATACATTTAAAATATACAGAAAGTAACTACTAAATAGATAAAATAAAATTGTAACAAATTTAAAAGTCATTCAATACTAAAATATAGTGAAATTTTACTATTAAAAGTCAATGAATAATTCATATTCAGAAAATCAATCAATAACACATATTAAAAATTATAATTAGTTATTCATATAACATGGTTCACTACAAGAATTCACTGATATAGCTATGGACTAGCAAAAGAATTTTCGTAGCCAAATATTTTAGCTATAGAAATGGCGAAAGATAGTGACGGAACACACAATTTTGATTGGGCTTTTTGCAGAATTGACCTGAAACTTGAAGTCAACCACAAAACTAACCTCCTTTTTTTTTGGAACTTTATTTTGCCCAATTCACCCCACAAGTTCATATAATTCACGAAAATGCCATCAATTTTTTTTTTTTTTTTGGTTTCGAAAATAACATATTTACTCTCTCACCCTCATCATCTTCAAGTAATTACAAGA